TAAAATCCCCCAGGATCCCCACACAGCCCCAAAATCCCTTCATGGCCCCAAAATCTCCCAAAAATCCCACAAAACACCCCCAGAATCCCTTCACAGACCCAAAATCCCCCCAAAATCCCACAGAATCCCTTCACAGCCCCAAAATTCCCTTAAAATCCCTCAAAAACTCCCTAAAAATCCCACAAAATCCCCTCACATCCCCAAAATCTCCGTAAATCCTACAGAATCTCTTCCTGGCCCCAAAAAATCTCCTTAAATCCCGCAGAATCCCTTCACAGCCCCAAAATCCCAAAATTCCCCCAAAATCACCTAAATCCCCCTAAAACCCCCTCAGAATTCCTTCACAGCCCCAAAATCCCACAAAATCCTCCTAAAATCCCACAAAATCCCTTCACAGCCCCCAAATCCCCCCAAAACCCCCCAAAAACCTTCCACAGCCCCCAAATCCCAAAAACCTCCTAAAATCCCCCAAAAACCACCCCGAACCCCTTCACATTCCCCAAATTCCCGAATTCCCCCAAAATCCCCCAAATCCCACAAGCCCTTTTTGGGGTTTGGCTCCTTTTGGGTGAAAATTTGGGATTTGAGGGACCCCAAAATTCCCCTAAAATCCCATAAAAACCCTTCAGATTGCCCAAATCCCAGAATTCCCCCAGAACCCCAAATCCCAGAATTCCCCCAAAACCCCAAATCCTGGAATTCCCCCAAAACCCCAAATCCCAGAATTCCCCAAAACCCCAAATCCCAGAATTCTTCTAAAGCCCCAAAACCCCAAAATTCTCCCAAAACCCCAAAACCCAAAATTCCCCCAAAACCCCAAATCCCAGAATTCCCCCAAATCCCAAAATTCCCCCAAAACCCCAAATCCCAAAATTCTCCCAAAACCCCAAATCCCAGAATTTCCCCAAATCCCAGAACTCCCCCAAAACCCCAAATCCCAAAATTCTTCTAAAGCCCCAAAACCCCAAAATTCCCCCAAAACCCCAAACCCCAGAATTCCCCCAAATCCCAGAATTCCCCCGAATCCCCAAATCCCAGAATTCCCAATCCCGGCACCCCTGTTTGGGGTCCGGCTCCTTTGGGGGAACGTTTGGGGTCAGGGGGATCCCAAAACCCCCCTGGGCAACCCTGGAGACCCCCCAGGTGTCCCCAGGTGTGTCCCCGTGTCCCCAAGGCCACCAGGTGTGTCCCCACGGAGTCCCCAAACACCCCCAGGTGTCCCCAACCCCTCCAGGTGTGTCCCCATGTCCCCCCAGGTGTGTCCCCATGTCCCCCCAGGTGTCCCAGGTGTGTCCCCGTGTCCCCCCAGGTGTGTCCCCATGTCCCCCCAGGTGTCCCAGGTGTGTCCCCAGGTGTGTCCCCGTGTCC